TAACATAATATAATATAATATCATATCATATCATATAATATAATTAATATAAAATGTATAAAATATAATACATAATATGTATATATATATATCTATATCTATGTACGTATATATATATATATGTATATGTATATGTATATGTATGTATATATATGTATGTATGTATGTATGTATGTATGTATGTATGTATGTATATATATATATATATCATGGCGGCCAATGTGCGGCTTGCTCTGAACAACCGAACCACAGGCGAGGCTGAAGGTTGGACGTCTTCACACGATAGGTCACTCATAAAGGTTCATAAAGAAGCGAGCGGCTTGTTGCAAGGCACTATTTGTGTGGGTGGAGAGGAGGTGGGATTTGTGCTTGAGCTCGGCATGGCCCGGCTTTGGGTTTGTAAATCTGGCTCTCGGGTGTTTCCTTCTTTCTTGATTGAAGGAAAGGGCTGGGACACTGATTTCGACATCGCGTCGGATTTTGGATTCGACACGTGCCACTACACAGTAGAAACCGAACTGCAGCAATGTATGGGCATGACTCTTGACTACATGATTCTTCTATACTCAGACTATGCTATGTTATGATAGGCTGCTACTACGAGTGTCTTTCCAGAAGCCGATTTCAGCCCCCCAAGAGTCCAAGAGTCTGCAGCGACTCCTTTCAGGCTGCCTGGGAAGCAACCTCCTAGAAAGCACAGAGGTGGAAATTAAAGAACCTACACTTATCGGCGCGCGCTGTGGGAGAGGATAAGCTTTGCGAAAAGCATGTGCGGATGTTGCAAAATGTTGCAAAAATGCATGGGGCTGGGAAGCAGCTCTTACAAATCTGTGCACATCGTGGTTATCGACAAAATACTGATAGGACACACTCCTTATTTGCAAACACTGTTGGATGATGTGCTGATCGTGCGATCGGACGTCACGATGTCAGAATACTCTGAGAAATCTCTGCGACCTGATGGATTCAAACAGCAGTGGGCTTGGTGGGGTGCCGGGCTCCCGCTGCGAAGTTCTTGCGTACGCTTGGATACGCTTGGAAAATCAGGCGGGGGACGGCGGGGACGGTGCACCACATCATGTTTGCAATCGGCCATGTCTGTGTGAACCCGGCACGCCGAACGCCGGAGCCAGGAGAACAGGCGCTCAGCAATGTGCATGTCTTTGACGCGACCGACCCGGCACTGCACGACTGAGCCTAGGGCTGGGAATGGCGTGATGAACCCGCGATCTGGGTGCTCTGCGTAAGCGTTTGCACGCAACCTTACCACTGGGGCTCTCCGTAGCTGATCTGGACAACACTTTTGGGACTATTGCGCTCGTTGAGCATCAACATGAAGCAAGCCAGGCGGGTTCTCCTGCAAAGTTGTCGTCGCAGCTTCCAATCACTTGAGGCAGGACCGGTCACAGATAGTTAGCACCACTGCAGGTCACCGGCCTGTGCCAACATCTGCAAGCTCTTATCCACGTGGCTTCGCAGCAGCTGCAACCTCGCACAATCGCAGTCAAACCCAAGCCACGCAACGTGCATGAGGTCCCTTTCGCACTTTACACTGCAATCGAGTCAGGAGTACCACTTCTCCAAGTTCGGCACACCTGACACTGTTCCGGTCTTCTCGAGCTGAACACCACGCATGCGGCAAGGCCGACCGCCCTGCGCTCCGAATTGCCGCCAGGTTGCAACTGTGCGGCCTGAGAAACTGCGGAAGAGCGCCAGCCGCGCAGAAAAATCACTTCAACGTGGAGCGTTGGACTGTTGCAGTCGGGAGGCTCTGAGAGGTCCAGCCTCGTGAAATGGGCATCATCTACGGCGACTATGGATAAATGACTGAGACTTGTGCTGCATGTTATGCTGCAGAACAATTCAATACTTGTCTCTCAGGCAGCTGCGTTATCGCCAATACAAGGTTTCCAACAGTTGCCTTTGAAACGGGGACACCCAGAAGATTTTCATTCGCCTGGCATCGCACAGTTGTGTCAGACGTCCCACTTGATCACAAAGCACTCCGGCAAGCCCATGGTCTAACCTCGTCACCACCAAGGTCATAGATGTGCGCCAGCCTCGTTGGTGTGGTTTGGAGACTTATGGGGTGACCGGGAGCAGGTGCAGGATGCAACTGGGTCCAGCACACTTTAGACGATGACCCGTCCGTTGCGTAGCGAGCAAACTTGTAATCCTGAACATCCCGTGCCCCACAGCGCAAGCTGCGCTTCGAAATATTCACAGGCACTGCCCTCCAAGTTCCTGACAAGAGCGACTGTTGCCTTCGGCTGGTCCTGTCACTACAGTAGCGCAGACCGATCTTTAGCTCTGAGCAGGCGAGCCTTCTCATCCTTGGTCGGATTGATAAACCGGTCCACTAGCGACGTTTTGCCAGACCTCAGAAGACGCAAAGAGTCCGAAGCATGCCGCCCATCCATCTACTCCTCAATGCTCAGCGAAGCGCTTCTTCGATCCACAGAAGAGGATGGTCACATCCTCAGACCGCACTAGGGAATGTAGCAACAACACGAAGGACTGCCAAGGCATATGCATTTGCAAACTCTTCACCGGCACTTCGTTGTCCGTGTTCCTTCGGAAAGCCCAGGCCAAATCTACCGGGGTCGGCTGACAATAACTCGGTGATTTCCGACATGTCCAAGCATCTGCACGGCATGGAAAGCTGCGTTCAATTATCCAGCTCGAGGCTCTCAAAGGTATCAAGCAGTTCTGGGAGTGTCCGACATCGGTACTCAGAGCTCAAACAGCGCAGTTCCGGCCGATTGGCCCTAGTAATTAAGGATTGGTCTGACTTGGCATCCCATAACCGCCATAGCCTTACAGTATTAGCAACCTGTGCGATGTTGCAGATGCAATTTCCTTAATCACCTGGGAAGGGGAGGTTGAAATAAAGGATTGTGCCTTCTGATCTACTTGTGAATGTGTAACTTGCGATGTTACGTTGCCATGGCAATTTAGGCAAGCCCGGCTGCTCTCTCTCTCTCTCTCTCTCTACCCGGCTTTACTCCAGGTCCAGCTAGGTCCTGGGGCTTCAATTTCCCCCAGCTCAAGCCGAGCAAGCACCTTGCAACTGTTCCGTCCATGCTTCCCTGTGAAGACCCATCCCTCCCGCCCGCCAGCGCTCGCATCTCAACCAAGCACAAGTCCTCCGTCAGCTTTGCGAAGATACCACTCGAAAAGTCGTCGACTTCCTTGTGGATTCAAGCGGTACTGGAAAACCTGACACGACGGCAGAAGTGCTCCAGTCCTTCTTTTTGGCTTTGGCCATGAACTTCGTCTGCCAACCTGGCAAAGGTCCACTTCCGCCAGTTCCGTCTCCGAAGCGCAGGCACCACGACACGCAAGAACACTGCTGCTTAACTCGAAGCACCTGCTCAAGCTGGCAGGTGTGAAGCAGCCCGCTACAGGCTACGCTGGCAAACCGCGCCGGCAAACAGGGTTCCTCTGGCGGGTGTGGGCATTTCTTCATGCGCTTGGCAGTGGTGGACAAGAGGTGACAAAGCACTGGAACCTTTTCACAACCAAGCCCGTGTCCTTCCTAAGCTCGCGAAACACAAAGGCTCCTTCAGGAGCTTTGTGCGAGACTATACCATTCCGATCCATTCCGTACCTCGAGACGTGAGATCTGCAGGGTCTTCCTGCCCTCACCGACGTGCTTCGTTAGCTCCGAGACTTTTAACGGAGGTCTGTGGAGCCTTGGAGCCTTCTCACCGTTTCCTGACCGTTTCTATCCGTTTCCGCTGTCTTTCGCAGAGACTAGACATCTGTACAAGGGGACAGGCAGCCCAGTGGCTACAACCTCTCTATACCAGTAGCTTCTTTGAAGCATCTGACCGCTGTCTTTGACAAGGCCGCTGGTCTCGTTCACTGAAGTCGCCCGCTTGCTGGCTACCCTTTCGAAGCTTTCTCTTTCAGAACCTGTGTCGTTGCGTAGCCTTCTCAGCTTGTCGAAGAGCAAACCTGGGTTGCAGGAAAACTCTGTCTTCCCAAATGCGTGACAAGAAGTACTGCGATCTGCTGCAGCACATGCTGTCGCTTGCCGTGTCTCTTTCATGCAAGGAAGTCGCTCCTTCAACTTCCGATAGCTGCTGATTGGATAAGGCAGCTCGCGCATGTTTTGCTCTGGTCGCACACCTAGAAAGTTGCTCAACATCTCCATGAGCTCCTCAAGAAAGGGTGACAGCATGCAGTGCTTGACGGTCTGCTCTCAAAACTGGCTTCCAACGCTTTGCCGAGCATCATTTGCATCCAGGTTCTTGATATACGAATCCGAAATCGGCCAAACACCAAGAAGTTCTTGCTGTTTTTCGAACGAGACCTACATACAGTTCAGGAAATATGCCCCTTATTGACTCTGCAACCATGCCAAATTCTGCACGGAAACTTGAGGCTCGGACATTCTCCATCAAGGAGAACGGCTTGTACATGTGCACCATGCCGTTTGGTCCGGTCACCAGGGAACGTAAAATGGTTAAGAACTCGAAGATATCCTCAGGGCCGGCGTGGCACATCAACATACCCGACTTCCACGTGGCACGCAGCCAAGATCAGCCAAGGTTCAATACCTTCACTACGTTCGACGTCGATGGATGTCCTCGGTGTAATGGCGAAGTATTCAGCTCCGGTCCGCTCCCAGTCTCCCCACCACGACACCAAGACTTGAGCTTCAGTGTGGTCTTTGTCTGTTCTGTTCCGAGCAGCAGGACATGCTTCAGCTGTTGCTCGTCTGGCATCCGCGCAATCAGTGGAACCAAGACCTGTTTTGCAGACGCGCTGCTTTCGCTCTTTGCATGCAAGTTCGGAATTAGCCTCGCGAAGCTCGCTGCGAGTCAACATACCGTCGCCATCTAGGTCCGCCACATCGAAGGCTGCCTGGCAGCGGCGCAACAACAAAAGCACCAAGCATCCGGGAAAAGATAAGCAGTTAAGAGCACCTGGATATCTGCCAACTCAGTCATGGTGAAGTTCAGGGCCTTCGCTGCCTGCAGTTAAGAGCAGCATGGCAGATGTTCTCTTCGAATCTGAAGCACAACACGGCACTACATACTGTTCACTGTCAGACCGAATTAGATCCGCGAGGCCTGAGAAATGCGTTCAGCCTGAAGTTGGCTCAGACGCTCCCACACCAGCTGGTAGATGAGACTGAAGCCATAGAAGTCGACACTTCCTCAAACAAAGCATCTCCAACTCGCATTGCTCATGGACTCGTCCCTGAACTGTTTGCATCCTTCTAGCAGAAGCTTGCAACAAGAGCTAGTCAGGTAGCCCAGAATTATGGATGACTGGGTGCCGAACGCCCGAATTCTTCAAAGCCATTCAGACCCGTTCAGAGTTTGGGGGCCCCGAAAAGCGCCGCTGTCACCCGAGGCTTCGCTGCAGGCACGCTTCCAGCGTCGTCTGCCATCGCCTGGCGCTGCCTGACCCCAGGAAACCCGTGGAAAGGTCGCGTGAGAACCATGGCACTGCTATGCACCGCACTGCCTCATCTTCCGAGGGCTCAAGCTGCTGCTGCGAGGAGATGTTGTGGAGGGTGAGTCAACCTCGCCTGGGACGAAAAAAATCGTCGAAGCCCATGAGCAGAACCGGGTAACTGAACAAGATCTTTAAAGAATTGTTCCGTCAAAGGCACCGCTGGGGTGAAGCACAGCTCGAAGATCAAACTCCTTTAGACAGGAGCGAAAAGAGCGCTGAATGAAAAGGCCGCAGCGACGGTACCCAAACGGGAATCCTCGTCTAAAAGTTCTTGTGCCAGGGCGTACTCACGTCTAGAACGAAGCAAGCCCTCCTGCACAAATCATTGTCATTCTTCTCATTTGCGCTGCCGGCTGCGCTACCCAACTTGTCGCGGCCTGTGCCAGAGCTGCCACGATCTGGTCGAAGTCTAAGCAGCTGTTCCTTAGTGTCTTAGATGATCGGCATTTTCAGCGCCACACCACCCCACCACACCAATTCGATCTTGCAAAGGACTCTTCAGTCAGCAATGGCACCGTGCCACAGCGCCTTCTGAACGTGCCTAGAGTATCCGAGATTCTGGTCCAAATCCAGACTCAAATAGATTTTATGAAGGCGTGATCGTCTCCGCTTCATCCTGAGATAACGTCCGAAATGATACTGTACCGCAACTCAAACCAACACCACTCACAACTGCACACTGCACATATGGTAGGCTACTCCAAGCTGCATGAATGTCCGCAGATGGTCAACCAAAAGCAGAAACTCGTTGAAGTCCTGAGCGATCATTCCTGCAACTTGGATCTGCCTTGGGGCTTCCCCGTCTGCCCAGGCAGGCAATTGTACAAGCGACGCAGAGCACGCTAAGCTGAGGTCAACCTCATCATCATGATTCTCGTCTACCTGGCTGATGATGTGGTCCACCCTCAGCCACTGCGCGGCATCATTGGGTTCAAAGCTGGGGACTGCATTCCGAAGCCGCCGAGAGTCGTGGAAGCCACGCTTTGCTTGTATGGCTCCAGGCCTCGAGGAAAGAAGAGAAAAAGGCTCCCTGCCGAAGAGCTTGGACTTCTCTTCTTTGCTGAGTCGCCCATGAATTTCAGCAGCCGCCGAACTTCAAACTGGCCCAAGAATCCACAGTGATCATCATCGTGGACGCTGAACATCTCCCACATCCAAAGCAGCTCCGGCCTCTCAGCCGAAAGTTCCCTCAAGTCGATACGCCAAGAAGCACTGCGACAGACGCCGGCCTGTGTTTTTTAAAGCGGCTCTCGACAATTTTTGCCTGCTTCGCAACGGCCTCAGCAGTCCAGCAGTACCAGCAGTAGCATACACAATCAAGATCCTTCCCTCTCTGCGGCGCCCCTGTCATATAAGTCGCCACGTTGCCCATTCCCTAGCGCTGGCGGCACGCGCGGCCCTTTCCTCCAGCTGCAGCAAGCGGATGTGCACCTGGCAGTGGCAACGCTCCGCTCTCGCCCTTTTCCCGTCTTCGTCCCGCCATCTCCAAGTCCAAGATGGTCTCTGGCCTGGATCCAGGACTCAGGGGTTCATAATAGGGGTGGTGATATCGCGAGTGTAGGCAAGCAACCCGATCTTCATCTGCTTGTCGCGCTTTATGGCTGGCGGAAGCGGGCCTGCCACGAATGGGATACGAAGGATCTTCTTCCTGCAACCCTGGCAACGATGGCCTTTCGCTTTGTCAAGCTCGAGCGCTGTCACCAGCTTCTGAAACTGATCGAAATCGATGCCGCTGGGATTCGGCGATGACTCGATTTCCTCTGCAAGCCAAGTAACAAAACAAGACAGAGAGTAGGCAGGAAGGAGGCAGAGGCGGAGGAAAGTTCCTGGATGCCGGTACAGGTGCAAGAATGAGCTGGAAAAAGTCGGGAAAAAGATTTGCGTGGAGACTAGTCTGGCCTTGACGAAGAGCCGGAAGTGCAGCTCGGCCCTGGCAAGTCACAGGAGCTACAGACAGCCATCAAAGCACTGCCTGCGGCTTTAGAAGCCCTCTGCGTCCTCTGCTCGAAGAACTCCCAGCGTGCCACCGGCACCACCTTAACCCGGGTCCGGGACTCTAAGATGGCGGGTACTACATAAGGGGTACTCTAAGGGGTATATACTACACTGTGATGAGTGAGTGAGTGAGTGAGCGTCGACCAGCACTTACGATGCGGCCTGCCTCCCACGGCCCTCTCAACATCTCAGAGGGGCTCCGGAAACGTCATAGCCCCCCTCCGTCACAGAGTTCAAGTGGGGGAGAATTAGCCAATGCAGACAGCTCACTGCGTTAAACCATGGTGTTCGGTGTGCAACCCCCAAAGCTGTGAAAACATAGCCCACAGCATACGCCCGGGAAAAATTTTCAGCGGTCGAGGAACAAGGGGCCAGGAATGAATTGGGTTTGAACAATAATGATAATTCCGGCATGCACCAAAAATACAGCAAGTAGTCGGCAGACGCAAACAGCATCAAGAGGGCGAAGCCGTGCGGCCAGTGCCGAGGGAGCGATGCTCCATGCACAGAGGGCACACACAAGGGCGACCCCAAAGGCGCGCGCCATGTGCCGAGGGAACAGTATTCCAGCACCGAGGGCGAGCACGCCACCAAGCAGGTCCAATAAAGTAGTATCACAAGTATACCAGGCTGCCGCAGCAATAAACGGCACAGAGGCACATCCCTGGAAGAAAGCCGCTGTCAACGCCTGTGGTCAGCGTGGAATATCTCACATATACATTGGACGCCCGCATGCCCGTGACCCCATGCATGGTGTCCAACATGTCCAAACAAGCTTTGGATGCATGTTGTAGGTGTGGAAAAGCTGGCATATACAAAGGACGCCGCACGACCGTAACACCATGCAACCAGCATTTCATTCATCTCTGATAGTAGCGGTAGAAAAGTCGTCGTTATCATCGTCGCTGTCGTAATCGAAAGGAAAGATGGCATATCACCCAAATACGCGATGTCGACCCACCGATATGTCCGATACGTAACGGCACTGTCGCCCCAGTTCCACTAGGTGGGGGAAAGGGGGGTGCTCCTCGAGTCGCCCACGACTCTTAGTGCCGCCCGGGGCCCCGGAGTATACTACACTGTACTTGGGTACTATGAGGGGTACTGTAATTGGGTACTGTGATCGGGTACTGAACTGTATGGAGGACACACCTTCAACTAAGGGTGCTCGTCCCCAGGAGCCGAGCGCGCCTCAGCCCCGAAGGCCTCGATTGGAATGCCGGTGGGATGCGGCGTCTTTTGCTCGAGGGCCGCAGCAAGCTCCTCTCGTCTCGAAAGGCTCTCAGAGACATAAGTTGCTACAGTGAAGCTATATGAATCAATATCCAGAAAGAACTTCCCACGTTCTTGCCTTGGCGGCTTGCTCGGCCTCTCGCTCGTCCTTGATCGTGGAGGCCCTCAGGGGCTCTCAGGGCTTCGTGAGAGCTCGCAGTGGTTTGCTCGTAAGAGCTTTTGCTTCACTAGGTAGGTAGGTTTAAAAAGTTTAACTGAGGGCTCCAGGAGGCAGCATGGAAAGACTCTGCGCTGCCAGGTCACTAGGTGACGGGCTTTCATCTCAGCAACGAGAACAGTGCTTCAACTCATCATTTCCGTTTCCAGCCAGGCAGTGCAGCTTTGCAAGGATCGCGCAGAGGGAACATCAATAGTAATAGGCAGTGCGTAGGATTCAGGGCTTCGTCTGTCACAACTGCCACGAGGCAAGGCTTCACACAAGTCACCCGTCTGGGGTAAGATATGGCCCCAAGATGCCCCAAGAGCCCGTCAAGACACAACTGAAAACCGCAAACCAAGCCGTAAGACTCCCAAGTACAAGCACAGGACACTCATGACACTTCGAGGGAGGACATGGCACTCCCCCCCAGCAACTAGTACTGCAGAAGCCTGAAATCACCGGGTTTTTTTAGGGTTTCGACCCTTACTCGCGCACAGGGTAAGCAAGGCTCCACACAATCCAGGCGACGTCGCGGAGCTTGGCAGAATACCAACCGGGTATTATCCCTTTTTGTCGGGGCCTCTGGGCGGTGACTGAGGATTGCCGAGGCTGACTAGCACTCATTCGGCGATGATGATGACGGCTGCCCCGAACCTTGCTCATGCAAGCAGACTAGCAGACTAGCCCAAGAAAAGTGTACGAGTAGGTGTTTGTTTTGCTCTTACTGACTTCCAACACACATGTCATGACACTCTGTAAGCAAGTCAGCGTGGCCCTGGCAATTCCACCACCAATCAATTGATTCACTAAAGCTGACATTCTGCCTATGGGCTTGGGGCATCTTTTTTTCACCCGGGAGCCCACAACTCACGATCCAAACAACCGTTTCACCAGCAGCTCAACGTCGAACTAGCTGGACTGCCCTCACATACATGGCCGGGGCCACCACTTTTTTGACAAGTCTACCGAAGAAAGCTTCGAGCACACACGATGCGAACGACACGCTCTTTCGAGGGAGTCCCGAAAGCAAGCCCGGGCTCAAAGACAAATTGACAATCGACGCCACTGTTTTGGAACAACGGGACCTGTTGTGCCTTTCCAGTGGGTCCTCTTTCTGCTTCGGCTTACAAGGAATCCACCACCTGAAGGCTCTTGGCTCCTGAGGGTGCCTTCAGCAAATCAGGAGCGCCAGAAGGGAACAGAAAACACAGCCAGCACCACACCCAATGCTCACAGCGAAATCCACAATCACTTGGGAGGAGGGAAGCCTGCTGCTGCGGCTGCGAGGGCTTGGTCTTGTCTTGAGCCATGCGCGCCATCGGAAGAGCTGATAACCTTGGCAATGCTCTTCCAAACCCACCATAAACAATTATGATTCTTGCATAATTTATGAATAGCTGTATGAATATCAGTACCACTATTGGTATAGCTACTATTGTTATCCTGCTCAGATCAGCGGCTCCTTGGGCGTCTTCCACCAGACCTGCGGAGATCCCTTCGGCGCAGCACCCCAGGCTCCCGAGATGCCTTGCTCCTCCACACCTGTGCGGCCAGGATTGTCTCGTTCTCCGCTTCCGAGCTAAAAAGAACTCCCAGAGTTCCCTCGGAGACACGAGGGCTCCGGAGCATAAAGCCGAGGGGCTGATCAACTCCCTCACCAGGGAGGTGACTGCACGCTCCACCACAATGCGCTCCACCATCGTGCGCCCTGGACCAGGCACTGCTACGAAGAATCCGTTTTGAATGCGCCCTTTTGCACAGGACTTCGAGCAGACCTCTAAGGCCAATGTCACGCAAAGCATCTAGTGCGGCTTCGGCAGTGAGTGTGTAGTACTGGTTGCAGTGGAGCTTGAAGGCCTGAAGTCGCCCCCACTTGGGCTACAAGATCACCGCTGAGATGTGGCGAGTCACACAGGTCACGCGTCTGCTTCAGCTCAAGAAAGCCGGGAACCTCACGGACTCTGTGGCTGCCCGCTCAGCTTGTGGCAGAGCTTTCCACACCGCCTCACAACTCCACGTATCCTTGCATGATCTTGTTCACTTCTGACAGGAGTGCACCTCTCGATACCTCCTTTTGCGATTCATTCGGTCAACGAACTTCTTCTTTTCCTTGCACTCAGGAATTGCTATGCAGGTTCGCTTGCTCGCCTTGTGGCACAGTCCAGGCGCTTGCTTGACTTGAGCCCAGCATCACGGATACCGTTGATGGCTGCCTCCTTAACTCTCCTCACAACACAGCTCAGGGGCCGTTCGAGTGTGGGCGCTCCTGACTGTCCACAATATTATGGCTTTTCAGCTGGATCCCAGCCATATCAGAATCAAAGAGAGGGTCCTCCGAATCTGCTTGGAGCGCTCTGATAGCTTCTTCTGCTCCAGCTTGACAGAGTCCGCATCCTCTCTAACTAATTCTCTCTGCATGCGCAACATCCGTGCATTCCCAGTATCAGGGTGCCTCGGAATCTGAACTCATCAAGCCCTCGTAGTCGGAACCCTGGGTTTGGCGAGGATGCTCAAGCTCTGGTTCATGCCCGTGCCCCGTGCCTCTCTCGTGTCTTCCACTGTCGTCACGGGGATGGAGCCCGAAAGCTTTCCCAGCACCTGACCGAACTCTGCCCGAACTCTGCTCGACTGCTCGATCTCCTGAAACATGGGCCGGCGGGCGCTCGCCCGCTCGCCCGGCCTGCTGTAAGCGCTGGTTTCTGTCGGCCTCCCGTGCCTTAGCGCGACTCGTCGCGAGCCCTCCCCGCTCTCTGCCATGCCATGGGGGCTCGCTCTCCCCTCAGGCACTGACGTCCGTATGCTGTGGCGTTACCTCATAATCGCGGCACCCCCCGCTCAGCCTAGCAGCCCCTAGCTTCATCGCACCTCCTTCTGCTTCTCTGGACTGACGACTTCGCGGCGCTGGCGAAACTCAACAGCAGAGCGACGCGCTTTCTGCGCTTCCGCCTTCCACTGTCTGTTCACTTTCTGTGCATATCGCCAAACTTGACTAAATAGAAATACAAGAACCCACCAATGCTTCGACGAGAGCACTCAACTCAGCACAATCGTGCCGATTGAAATTGAAATTCAACGAGTCTTCTGCATTGCTTCAGGAGCACAGGCCTCGATCACACGCCTTCTCCGCTGTGCACGCTCCAAATTCTGCCGCTCCAGATCTTTTTGAACCACTGGCACCTATGTGGCTCAGCAACTTCGCCCATAGCTGCAATGGTGCCCGGCCCATGCAGCTTAGAAGCGCTTCCTCTGCAGATTTTGCCAAGCCTCGGAATGAAGGTGACAGCTATCGACAAGTCCGGCAAGAAAAACAGAACTGGTATAACAATGTAATAATACATAAGTGCATCCCATCTGCTCGCTGTCCGAGAGGTCCGCTAAGGTGCGCAGCGCCTCCACTTCTTCCTCTTGGACCTCTGAAGGCTGGGACGTGGGCGACGTCGGCTCCAAGTCCTGGCACCAGGCGCGGTGCAACTCACGGATTGAATATGGGTACTATACGGGCTACTATACAGGGTTAACGTTCAATGGCGCTCCGGACACTACTTTTTGTGCCTTTAGCTCAAAGGCTCTTCGAGAGGTAACGGCCAAAGTATAAACAACTTCCTGCACATGCCCATGCCGTCACTAGTTCTACACAAGCAAAAGGCACGCACTCAGGCTATACACGCAAGAACCGAGGAGATATTCTCACAGGGTGCTATAAAAAGGTTGCCATGAGGTGGGGCCTGGTATATAAGGGTTGCTATGAGGGCACTATAAAGGTCTAAAGTCTAAAGCTTCAGAGGCTTCTGACAGAAACTTCGAGCCTCGTCCACAGCAAGCCGAGCTAGCTGTGCCCGAGTCTCTCCACGAATTCGACGAGCGATCCAAGGAGAGCGTGGCGAGCGTCCTCTCAGAAGCCACGCTCTGCTCCCAGATGCTCCCAGCAGGGGTCTTCCCTCCTTTAGGGTGTGGCAAACTTCTTTGCATGCCTCGCCTTTCTCGGCTTTCGGTGGGTTGCTTGCGAGTGGCACAGGAGGCGCGGCTGGCAGACCTGAGGGGCTGATGCAGTGCCTTTTTCAACTTATATCGTCTGCATCTCGGGTCGGTGCCACCACCTTTCTGCATGGCCTCCAGCCTGTTCTTTCTCGCAATCTCGCGAGTTTTGATGCCAAACCTGGCTTCGCGACCTCCTGTGGAGTCCGCCGAGCGCCGCACGCATCCAGCAGGCCCGCCGGACAACTGGCTGTCAAGGTTTCGAAGGTTGCCGCTTTGAGTGTCGGCGACGGAACTTTCACCACCTCGGAGACCGAGGTCCAAAGGCCGAGGGACTTTTTGCCTGCCCGATTCGAGGGCCCAACTCGTGGCCCGCGGACTATCGAAACCTCCAATCATGCAGCCAGAACACGGTAGATAAACCTGGTAAAGAAAACCTCGATAGAGCGGGCCAAAGCCAGCCTTGCTCAGCTTTGCAACGGGCGGCGGACTGAGTTCCTCCTGCCAGCCTAGGACAGCCACGAGCTCAGGCACACCACACATCCGAGCATGCCACGCCCAACCGCCGCTAGGCAGCTATGGAAGTTGAAGCCGTCAGTGCCTTGAGACATCCAAGGCTCACAAAAACACAGCCTTGGTTCATGCAACGGCCCTAGACAAAGATCTTTTGTTGGGCCAGCAGACGCTCCATTGAAGCGTCGTCGGACCAGATTGCATGCTTGTTTCCGGCGATCGATATTCGGGGATCACTCGGCTTGCATTCCAGGCCTCGGCCACACAAGGTGTCGTCATGCGTCCTCATCTGCACTGTGAGACATGCCTGAGCCGATGACGGCCGCCACTCTCTTGATCGGTGCATGGGGCACCCCTGAAGTCCACCCTGCCCTCAGCTCATCATTCATGTGATTCATGCACGCAGGGGTTGCTGTTTTCCACAAGCCTCCAAGTCACGCCAGCCAAGAAAGCGCGCATGCGAGGCCACCTCCTGCACGAAGCAGGGAAAGAAAAGACAGAGGGCGAGAGAGAGCAATGGGGTGCCGCTTCTTTCAACAGGAATGCCTGCCTCTCCACGCATCGTACCCCATGCGATGCGAAGCCTCAGATGCGGCCAACATGCCTTGGGCACGTCCTCTGCGTAAGCACCCGGCCTAAGCAGGCACTCGTAGACTCTGTCTGAGGCGGGCTATGACCAGGGTTGAGCCGTAACCTTTATGCAAGATCTTGACAGTCCGTCTTGAGCAGTGCGGCAGAGCTCAACAGTACCAACCTAGCATGTTGGTGTTATTACTTTCTGACCGACGCAGATGCACTCTGCGTTGAGATTGGGTGAGACTTGTTGCACATCAAAGGCTGCTGCAAGAGGGATCGACTAAGTTCTGCGAGATAGAACCGCAGCCCTCTCGTGTTCCATACGGGTGTGACACGAAGCTCACCAGTCGCCGGCGTAGCCTTGCGGTTCGATTGGAACCCGAAAAAAGAAACTGCAATGAAGCTGTACGCGAACCCTTGCCACCCAGCCCTAGGATACAAAAAAGGCAGCTTGGGTATTCGATGACGAACCCCAGCCGGCCTTCTGCGCCTGTGTAGCGCGCAGCACCTGTGGTGAGATAGTCCTCCAGTCCGAAACAATCCATACGTCGGGCACTACCTGTTGCAAAAGCACATGACCTCGCCTTCGTGGCGGACGTTGTCTTCTGTCTTGTCGTTTCCAACTTGGGGCAGTCCGAGATGCGGTGCCCAAGTCCGCCACAATATGCGCAGCCCTGGACACAGCATGGGTCAGGACAAAGTGTACTTATTCTCAACTGCACAGCTGATCAAGTACGTCACCCGCCTTGACACCACCAATTTCCTCTTCTTCTCTGCCCCCTCCACCCGTCTCGAGCTGCATGAGGAAAGGAGGGACCTTGTCTAGCATCGGTGATGGGCTGGAAAACACAGTGTCGTTCACTCCTGTAAAACCTGCGGATGTTTAAGTCCTTTTTCCGCCGGGACACGTGCTGTCCAGCCTCCAGCAGCAAAGCCTTCAAGTCGAGCAAGATTGTCTCCTTGGCTTGATTGTGGCTTGGCTTAACAGACACTGGTTGCACGGCGTGGACGGGCTCAACAGCGGCCAGCGGCATGATAAAGGAGTCTTGCGTGCTCATGCCCAAGAACAACCACGACTGGCTGTTGCAACATTCTTACAGAGCGTACCGACTTCAGCTGGACTGCACTGCTTCTACTGGTAGAACTTACGTGCAGCTCAGGCACATCCTGGTTTTTGTTGACGAACGTGGTAGCCACACCAGTTCGTCCACATCGACCTGGTGAAAAATTCATCTCGAACTGGGGACAACCAAACGATAAGTGAGTTGGATTGATCCGGATTAGTTGCCCTGCGTTGGTTCGGATAAGGGTGAAGAAACGAGGCAATATCTTCAAATCCACTCCAAGCACAAAGAAAATACGCAACGGTGGGACGTATGCAGGGGGGTACGGGCCGAGACTCACCTTGATTTCGCTCTGGCTTGCGTACTGCAAGGTCAGTCGTGCTGCTCTCGTGCTCGCACTTGAACTGCTGAAGAAGTGCATGTGACCCACAGCATTTGGAGTCTGCAAAGTGATGTTTCCAAGAACTCGTGAGAATGAAGACTCGAATGAGCAGCACCCACGGAAGCAGAGCCTCCTACACCCTTGGGTGAAGCAAGGAAGAGGTTATTACGAGGTGATTGTCATCCGTGCCACGTCAAGTGTGCGACCAGTGTGAGTCATACCCTGTCTCCTTATCAAAGGCATCGACAATGAAAAGTAGCTCTTGCTCGCATGTGGCTTGACACTCATTAAGTCAATAAGCGCCGCAAAACATAGCAGCAGCCTCCAGACTGCATCGGCAATCTGCTGTGGTTGTGCGGAATTTTCACCCTACGAGCATACTCAAGCATGCTTGTTCGGATGTTCTTTCCAGGGGCATCGAGCTCTGGATCCTACATTAGGTGAGATTGGAAAGCATATCCAGAATCATAAGAAATCATTGCTTTGGGCGTCATCCCGAACGGGACCGCTTGCTGTGCATGCTGTGTTCATGCCAACAAGCACCACTGCCGGCATATGCGCTTGCCGGGTGGCCTGTCCGACCAATTCGGTGAACATAATTCTCGATCTCCTTCGGCATGTCAAAGTTAATGACCTTGGGCCCAGTGACAGCCAACACAAATAATCAAATTCCACTCCCTCTCCGCACTCGGAGGAAGCTGAACAATGCTGAGCTCCTTTCGTGCTGGATAGCTGGGAAATCTAAACCCTTGGACGCCACGTCTGTGCCGATCAAGACGTCCTCCGAAGCACCCGCACAACGGAATGAAGGGAGGCACCCTGTACCGCCACTTAAGACATTTTATTGTACTAAGACATGTTATAATATACGATATTGTATTATCTTGCACTATATTGCGTTATATTGTACTATATCATATTAATAACTGTTTTGTACTAGGGTATGTTGTATTATGATATGTTATGTTATGGCTTATTATAGGATTTATATTGTATTCTCCTATATGAGAATATTATATTCTGTATTGTTACAGTATATTGTATTATGTTAAACGATACTATGTTTTGTCATGTTGCTTTATAATGATTTATTGCATTTTAAGATGTCCCCAGGTCTCCTTGGAGCCCTCCTTGAAGGAGCGGATAGCCTCGTGGCGTTCCTCCTGGTCCAGCCCGCCGTGGATTGCCACGACCTGCCCGCATTTTGCCCCCGTGCGCTTGGCATGTTTTGATGGCCGCGGGATGTTGTACGAGGAGGGCTGAAGAATCAGCAGAAGACAGACCAAGATCCAGACGTGGACATGACAAATCCGAACTTTTGTGCCTCTCGTACAGTTGGAGACCCAAAACAGCTGAGTTCCGTGCTATGCAGCAACCCAGTAACTGTCGTGGCCGCAAGGTGTGTTTGTGTGCGTGTGTATGTATGTATGTATGTATGTACGTACGTACGTACGTACGTACGTACGTACGTACGTACGTATGTATGTATGTATGTATGTATGTATATGTGTGTGCGTGTGTGTGTGTGTGTGTGTCTCTCTCTCTTTCCTTCGACTGCAGACTCTCGATAGTCTCACATGGTAAGAATTGCGGGGCACCTCGACGCTCTTTAACAGCAGGTACTCGTGCACATCATCCACGTCCGACTTGTTCTCGCAGAAGATCAGCACCTCAGGCAGTCATCAGTGTTGTTCTTATGAGCCAGGGTCGACTCCTTGCTGCCAAAGCTGCTGGGGGAGGTGTCTTCTGCAAACACTTGAGGAGGTACACCAGCTTGGCCTCCTGCTTGACGTACCTCGAACCATGAGTATCCATGAGTGCTGGCATGCGCAGCGATGCGCACTGCAGAAGTTTTGCTCGTCAAACTGAAACGGACTTACTGAAGTTGAAGCAGGAGGCTCAACCTCTTGAATGACATCCAAGTTGGCAGCGCCAGCACGGCCCACGTTAATCACGACCTAGCGAACCCTGCGCTGCACAATCAGGACATGCCAGGAACTTGCAGGCGAGTGGCCGCGTCCACCAGCGCTGTCTTCGCGAAGTCCTCCGGAAGACTCGAGCTGTGCACGTGCCGTTTGCGTTCCCTCAGCCGGGCCTGGATCTTCTTTGGCATCGTCGCGCTGAAAAGAAGTGTCTGCCTTTGACCTGAAAGGAAAACCATGAAAAGCCATGCAAAGCCAGAGCTGAATGCTTCCCTGCAGGCCAGGTGCCTCGGTAATGGTCCAAGGTGTTCCGGATCTCTTCTTCGAAGCCTAAGTCGATCATGCGGTCCGCCTCGTCAAGCACCAGAACTTGGCACCTCAGAGCCGCGAAAAACTTCGACAAGGGCTGTGCTGCTGCCCTCTGTCAGGGCCCCCCGGCTGTGCCAGTGACATGCGCTTCTTGCTCAGCAGGTCATTTAATCGGCCGGGTGTCGCCTCAGAGGAAAGCTGGAATTCTCTAAGGAATTTTTGAAAGTTCCTGCAATTGGAGGGTGGCTGTGCAGTTCAGCCGGGGGGCAACGACCATGTGGCAGCCCTTTTTGATTGCCATCGCTTGGGTTCCAGTGCTGAGCCCGCCAATGGTAAGAACCTCGAAAAAGCTGTGAGGAACGGGCACGACGTGTCTTCGCCTCCCACTCCGAGGAACCGATCTGAGCTTTGGGAACTCCTTGTGGTACTCGGCCAAGTGGTCCGTGTAGAACTCCAGGACCTGCACCAAGAGAAGGCTCGGGCCCAAACTCCACCAAACCTCTTCACGTGGCAAAAAGCCACTCTGGGAGGGAAGTGGCACCGGGCCCTCACTCTAATCTGCCTAAATAAATATATGTATATATATTTTTATGCATTTATACACATAAATACATATATGTTGGCACTATATCTCATTTCATTATTGCATTTACTCCAGAACATTGTATCCTTATGTATAACATATCCTGTTGAATCTGTCACGCTCCAACGCAAGGACCGGCAAAAAAAGGCGCGGAGCTGCTTTGGCAGGGCCCCGCCTCGTAGGTCTGGTGCGCCAGCTCACGGGAGGGCGCAATGATTAGGCCAAAAGGGCCTTCGGTTGGCTGCACCTCCAAGCATAGATATGTGTGGATTCATATCTTTATATATATAATCTATGTATGTATGTGGGTGTGTGTGTGTGTATGTATATATATATATACATATTCAGAGAAATCTGGACAAACTGTACTTCTCTAACTACGACCTGTGCAAGCAAAGGCCGCGGTCCCGACCCGAGCGCGAAGCTCTTGCTCCAGCGCGCACATAATCATGGGCAGGCCAAACCTTTCTCCATCAAAGGCCACAGCTCCGCGGTGCACCAGCACACAAACATTCGACAACCGCCAAGGTTAGAGCACAAGCGTCTTGCCACTGCCGGTAAAGGCAATTCCTGAAATCTCGACAGCTACACTCCTACAGGCAACACTTTCGTCGGATGCGGCTGTCATCAATGCTGTCCACACAATAGTCCACCCAAGCATCCAATAATGTCACGGCCCATCAGCCCTGCTGGAATGCCTTGCCTTGGCGCAGAATGGAGGAAACATGAACCCAAGCAAGGCAGTTGTCAGAAGCCAATACAGAAACTCAGCCAATGCTCACACTCAGCCTTTCTCACATGTGCACAGCATAAGGATTCCCAAGTTGCAGCTCAGTGACATCTGGATTTGGGTTGGCCTAATGATTCCTTTGGCCTTCAAGCCTGTTCGGTCACTTCAGCAGCTTGACAGAAAGTCTTGCCGTTGTTCTCTCGACATTCTTCTGTCCACTGGCCTTCGAGAATGCCGCGCGGCAGCCGCATTTCCTGGCAGCGATCATAAGACAAGTCTAAGCTGGCAGAAGTACCAGATGTCAGCTGCCCATGCCTCGAAGCGCTTGATCGGTGCTGGGATCTCTTGTCCGTTCACCTGCTGGCATGCCGCAGCCCCAACTGTGCAGGCAAAGTGGCGTGAGGCAGCACCTCGATGAAGTACTTCTCGCGGACCGAAGCTCTCTCTGCTTCTGGCATGTCACCTAAACTTCGACCAGTGTGGAACTGCAACCAGTGTGGAACTGCATCCAGTAGGAATCGGCACCAAAAATACCAATCCCAATCCCATGCAGTTTGGAGCCCTATTTCTCATCAAAGGCTCCAGTAAACTGCAGCAAACCTTCAACATCTCCCGCAAAAGCTTGGTGCTCGACGGTACTTCTGTATCGGCCGCCAGTCGCCAATCGCTGGCATCCTCAAGGGGTCGCCATTTTCCATCGCGCGGGTCGCTTAGAGAAGGGCGCTGAGGTGAGGCTCTCCTCTGCGTGTAGAGGATGCCCTTGGCTCGCTCCCGGACCTTCGGCAAAACCGATGATCTATGTGTGTATGTATGTATGTATGTATGTATGTATGTATGTATATGTATATGTATATGTACACTTTTTTGGAATCCCTTGATGATCTGCAAAGATATGGATGGATGGAAGTGATGGAAGCGGACGGCAGCTCAGCCAAGCACGGACATCAAGGGCGTGCTCATTTGCAGTTGAACCTGCTCGAGGAGCTGGTCCTTCCAGGCCAACATGAGTCGGTAAGATACCACAAAACTTTCAGTGGCAGCAGAACAAATCACAGCATGTAAGCTTTGTTGAGCGTTCCGGCGTCCTCCTCATTCCTGATGCTTTCTTTGATCGCAGCTTCGCGCCCTTCCTCGAACGGAATTCACGGCAAGAGTGCACGTACAGGCCCCTCTGGCTCCCGCTGTTCGGCAGTCCGGGCCTTGTTGGCCTCCTCTTCTGCTTTGAGCTTTGCCGACACAGCCAACAAGGAGTTTGCCTCAGGTCGTTTGGCATCAAGTGGCACTTGAACCTCCGACCTCTGAGGCAGCTACGATGCCACGCTTCTTCTTTTCCTGTCTCATGGAGATGCCAAACGAAGCTACTTGCTCAAACATCAGCCCAGGAGGCACTCAGGCAGACTGCAGACTTACCGGCTTCCCAAAACCCCCGTGAAATCCGAATGCTCGCATCATCAACACTTCGGAAAATGCTGTGCTTTGCAGGGTCGTGTAGGATGAAACGGTGCAACACCAGCAACAGCCTCCGCGAGTCTCTCGCGCATGACTCGTTCGGCTTCTTCTCGACGTTCCTTCTGCCTGCAGGCCATCATCTCTCCGAGCGCGAAGAAAGCACTGAGGCTTTCGTGGCGAATTGATTACGCAGCGCCAGGGTGGCACTGGCACCAACACACAAGCAAAGACAAAGACAACTATTGAATGCTGCAGCATCGGCCTGTCCGAGACGAGCTTCTCTCTCATCGCAGCCTTGCCATGCTGAGGCTCGCTAAATCTTGCAGGCACCCAGCAATTGAATGGCCTTGCGTTTCTTGATTGGGACATAATCTTCGTAACCGTCATCCTCCTTACACGAAAGGCTCGTTCGGCCCAGCACATGACAGCATCATGCTCACTGGATGAGGCTGCTGAGAAGTATCGTCTGGATCCAGCTGCGGCTCAACATCTTCCTCATCATACTTCCGCTTGAGCCTTCCGTGACGGATGCATAACCGCGGTCAGTGATCCAATGCAGTGCACTGCGCATGCTAAGGCCGGTGCTGCTGAAGCTCTGCACTTACCATGCCACCACCTGTTTTGACATAGCTCTTGGGCGGGGCGTTCACGAGCAGCTGATGGTTCTGGATTCTGAGGTAGGGACGTTAAGCCAGCTATGTGGCCATCGAGCTACATCGTGCAACAAGAACTGAAGCCCAAACTGCTGACCGAGCACATGTCATAGGTATCAACATCTCAATCGCAACTCACGGGTTCGGCTGGAGATCTCTGTTTTCAGTGTGGCGCGAACAGTGTGGCTGTCAAAGGCTCACTGTTGAGGCGCTCCAGCAGCTGCTGGCCGTCGTGCCAGGAGATCTTGGGACGCGGGACGATAAACGGTGAAATGCAGCAAGCCAAGAGGGAAAGAGCCACAAATACTGCCAAGTGGCCATAGCAGCAGGGATGCGAACCTCTCGACGGCACCCGGTACGAGACAACGGCACAACATCACCTCTTGGCCTCACTACCGCCGCCACGCTCTTGATTTGGACACGTCATGACCTTGGCTGCGATGCTGCGCGGGCAAGGGCGGCAGTGCAACCCACCAAAGTAAATGTCAACGATAGTTTCTGAGCTTGTTGGTTTGAGCCGGTGGCTTGCAGGCGACTGTCATGATTCTCGGAATTGATCACGACGACTCCTGCAAGTCCATCGCCCGCACCACACTCTGCCCATTACGGCATCGTCCTACTGTACTCGCCGTGCGTTCCTAGCACGCAACGATTCCCAGAATAGCAGGACCAGATTGCCAACAGGAGGTTCGGGAAGAAAGCATGCCGAAGCCACAGCCACAAGCAGTTACGAGTACAAGTGCATATGCACAAGAAGGCCTACCCACGTGTTAAAGGCAGATCGCTGCGAGCTAGACTGGTGCTACGGCGGTATCATGCGGTGAGCTCTCACCACCTTGCACCACACGAACAGATCAGCAGAGATCGCGAAAGATGCACAATGCAAGCGCGCGCCCCCCCCCTTTTTGTTAAGGATATCATGCAGAACCCAAAGCATGAAGGCGAACCGATTCCAATGTTCAGAGGAGCTACGATAGTTTTCAATCTCCGCACACAACAAAAGTGCACATCAGGTTACAGTTCTGCGTCCTGCAGCCCCTGCCAGCTGTGCCCGAAGCAACTTCCTGTCACAGAATGACAGTTGGAGCATTCCGCGCAACAACCCATGACTGCAAAGCCGCATGCAAGCCGAGTGACTGGACAAACAAGCATCCCCCTCGAGAGATCATCAGAAGCCGTCCTGCATATGTTGCCTCACCGCAGGGCGGCAGCTTGTCAGTTGATCCTACGCGGCAGGGCCTTCTGCTTCAAGATTTGCGACTGTTTCATACAAACTCGGTCACCCCAACATACCCAACATCGCAAGGCGTGCCTGTGTCAGCTTTCATGACCACAAGCACAATACATGTGCGACTCCAATCTGAACAAAAGCGAAACTCCAGATGACCATCCCCATGGCCCAGCGATGATGGCCTGTCGCCGCACTACCCAACCACAACCACCACCACCGCTAGCACCTCCCGAAGTCAACTACAGCTGTTCGACTTAAGTCTGAGCTTCGACAGCACATGATGACACAGACGTGTCACGTCGCGTCACCCTGAAAACGAATCTAGTCGCTGTTGCCCACAAGCAAAGGTATCCTCAGCTTTACAACTTACACTCAGAGACACGAGCAACACACCCAATTAGATTGTGCAAAACTCGAGCAGGAAACTCCACTTGCACTCTGAGAGCAAAAACACGTGTCACACAGACTTGTAGCATCTTGCGTAAGCGGGACAAGTGCTTTGACTTCGCATCACCTGTGCTTCGCATCAAAAACCCACACCAACCACGACCACGACGGCCTCCAGCAGCAGCGCAAAACACCAGACACACACCCACACACACACACACACCCCCAGGCTTGGCAAGAACTGATGCGACGAACCTCGAACTGCCTAATGCGAGAGCAGATTACGGCAATCGTACAGAATCACTGAGGCCGATGACAGAAACAACAGCATTTTGGGGTATTTTGGGTTGGCCATACAAACGGCAGGTACGCAGTGGTGATTAGCCAGTGCATCCACTCCAGTGACTTGGCTTCGTTGGGCAAGGCTTGTTACTGGAGCCCTTGCCCGTGTGTACACACACACATGCCCTTACTGGAGCTGTCGCACCTTTTACTTCATGGTGGTGGCGGGGTTTGCTGCAGTGTGGAGTGTGGGCCGGTGCCCGGGAGGGCCAGTGCCCAAAAGTCGATGGAGACACGCGCCGGCGCGCATCGTAAAGCATCCTAAACAAAGAGCGCGAAGAGCTCGTCCACTTGAAGAAAAAGGGTTCTCAGAGACATGTCTGAGGAGCTGGCACGTCACTGACCTAGCAGCCTCGGACTTACGTTGCCTTCCAGCACAGCAAAAGTCCCACTTTCGGAGACCCTCACTGCCTCAAGCCTAACTGAGTCACGTCGACTGATCCCTTCCTGAAAGAAACCTGCAGACAGAAGTTCACTTCGGCAGTCGACCCTGGCTCCAGTTCCAGAATGAACAAGATGATGGCATCAGACACTCCGGAAAATGATTCCAACACATGATAGTGATCAAAAACATGACGTTAGCGTCTGCACGTCAGCGTCCAGTCGCATCTGCCATCGCGGGCTCCGGCGTTGCCGGCTGNNCTGTGATCTGGCCCCATGTCGGGAATGCCGGAACAGACACACTCATGCGACGAACCTCGAACTGCCTAATGCGAGAGCAGATTACGGCAACCGTACAGAATCACTGAGGCCGATGACAGAAACAACAGCATTTTGGGTTATTTTGGGTTGGCCATACAAACGGCAGGTACACAGTGGTGATCAGCCACTGCATCCACTCCAGTGACTTGGCTTCGTTGGGCAAGGCTTGTCACTGGAGCCCTTGCCCCCTGCTGATAATATCTGGATGATCCGCCATGTGTACACACACACCCACACCCGCGGGCGCGCGCGGACGCACGTGTGCACACACACACACACACGCACACAGACAGAGACAAGCGGGAGGAGCGCGCGACCAAAACAGGCCAGCAAGTCGGCAAGCAAAAAACAAAAACCGCCAGAACGAAAAAGCCAAACCAGCTATTGGCAGTCGGCAGAAAAGATGGAAAGGCGGACAAAGGCCATTCAAGATCTGAGCCTCAAAGGTTCTTTCAGCTCCACCAGGTATGCGGAGGTCAGCACAGGCATTTAGCGGGCTGGCCTTGGGAACCGACACATTGGTTCGAGTTGGGCCATAAAGGGCCATGTATCAGAATGCTGCAGGCATCGTCCCCCTTTTGGATGCCTAAACTGCGGCTGGTAAAAGCAGAGCTCAGTAGCTCCGTCAGCTCGCAAACATTTCCAGACCCTGAACGCTCAGCTCAAGGGGTCTGCCCGAGTCGCCAACATTGGCACAAAAGAGCATGACACAACTCTTTGTTGCGTCCAAAACATGCCACAGCTCTAACATCTTGCAGCTGCTCTTGCAATGATCTCAAAGATGGAGTGACATGCTTCCACGTTAGAGGCTGGCTGCGACGTTGGCCATGACATATGCTGTCTGAAGCATCTATACAAGCCGTCCATCCTCAGAGATGGGAGCAGGCGCTTGATCGGCCGTACAGTAGCCGGCTCAACTACCAGTATGACCATACAGGCCAATTGCTGTTGAATGCATGCAGCACACTGTGATTGTGTGCATTCATGGGGCTGTCCTGCGAACACTCTTGAAGGGACTTCTTCCTGTCACAAGAAGAGTTCGGAGGACAAGGACCGCCTCAGTTCTCAGTTCACCCGACTAACTTCCCCAGCAAAACGACATGACTGCCCGGCAGCATTCTGTCTCAGAGGCATGCCGGCTACTCCCCTACTGACCATCCGAGGCGCGAAGGTCCTCTATGTCTGCCACCGCTTGAAGCGGGTGAATTTAGAGGCTTTGCCAAGCCCTCGGCGCAACAGGCCGCAGCAAGATGCACTTAGCAACACTTCCAGATGCACTTAGCCTTTCGACGAGAGGGGCACCTTCCAGGGCTTCAACGACTTTTGGCAAAGATGGGCGAGGCCTATCCCTGTTTGTATTCAGAGCCGCCCAACCTAGCACATGTGACAAAACTTCGGATCCTATCCGCTTCATGCACCACATGAAGCCTCACAGGCAGATGGACAGGTGTAAAGCCGCGGTATGATGCTGACGTTCGATATTCAGGCTCGACAAGCTTACAGCGAGGAATGAACTTCAATCTCCCGGTAGTGTTGCCGTGAATCGTAGTTAACAACAGATCTAATTGGAAATGGCCCGAGTGAACTATTCCACCACATCTCTCATTTCATGTAGCTCCCCATCTCGAACTGTGGGGGTGGACAGTGGAGTCCTTTCTCAATCCCTGACCTTTGGGGGGCATGCATCTTCAGGTTCCCACAGCTGAACACGTGACTGACAATATTGACAGCTGCCGAGACTCAGAAACGGCTTGGGTATGAGTCTGTACAGGCCTCGACGCAGGTTGGAGCTTGCTCGCAGATCACTAAGCAAAAGCAACACTACGTCGCGCATGCATTCCGCCTTGAAGAATCAAATCTCAGCCCGTGGCATACGTTGCCGAATGGCTTCCGCGAAGACGGGGAATACCTTGGATAAAGGTGTACAGAAAGGCGGAGTCCTGTTCAAGCCGGGATCAAAACGCTGCCCTGCAAAGACAGCAAATGCATCCAAGGTGCTCTACAAAACATGCACTGCAACGTGTGGTTCAGCAAGCGGAGGGCTTCTGTGGCTGCCAGGCTGGACATATTAAATGTTGTTGACACACACAGCGCCAGGTTGCTATGGCATCTATGCCAGCAGAGGTGGCGCGGTGTGATCGCGTGCCTTGTAGGTCCTTTGACCCCTCTTTCTGGCATGCCCGTAAGAAACAGATGATTAGTTCACAGCTACCAAAACTCCGATAGAACATGGGGCGGCGCACAGAAATTACGAACTGAAGTGTATGGCAAAGTCTATACGCCTGCGCAAGCAGCAGGCCGTCAGGCGATGGACTCGTCGAGCTGCTAGACATTAGTCATTAGTCCTATCGGACATTCCGAAATCTGTTTTCTGAGCCCTCTTTGCCGCCTGCCGGACTGTAATCAGCTCCGCTCACTGTAGGTCACGTCACCTGTACAATATCTCTCTGCCTCAGCACGGCCAGAAGACGTCAATGTACAGCAAAAGACCCATGCACACTCCTATTACCAACTGCTTCGTCTCTTCGTGCCCTTTGTTTCTGGCCAGGTCCTGAAGTTTCCTGAAGCAGGGGCCCTGGGCCTAGGAGGGTCGAGGACTTAGGGCGTCGGTGTAGCAGCGCCAATTCTGTGCAAGAGGCCAGGAGCGGAGCGAGCTCAACGCAAACCACCGTGGCCATGGCTGACAATGTCCACGCCCACAGTCAGGGAGCCGTCCAAGCCTCAGAATGTCTCAGACGCGCGGTCCAACTATTAGATCTACATGCCCACGACAGTTCAACCTCGCGGCCATTAGTCTCGAGTCGCCAGTCTTTGCGAAGCTCGCAGACAAAGCATGTGCTTTGTCCCGGATTGGCCGTGATTGGTCCCAACTGTTCCTCGGATCGGGCTGCAGCGCCCATTTGCGGGTCAAGACCGTGTCCGTAGGCCCCCAAAACACGGAAATCGGCCACACTCAAGAAGTAAGTGCAGATCTCCAGCAAGATTGAAGAGCAAGGTCATGGGCTCACTGCAAGCAAAATCTCCTGCCAAGGTGATGCCGTGTTGATGAATGGAAGGCAGATGTTCTAAATGCTTTCATCACTGGTCTGTTGTCCTGCAAATTTCAACTGAAGCGCACCATACTGTGGTGCCCGATCCACCGCTTTTTTGCCCTGCGAACGGAGAGCTGCTACATGTCAGCACCGGTCAACTCTGGCGCCACTTGGCCTTCTTCAGGGTCTTCTTCGCCTTGAGCTAAAAAGAGGACAGCGTGGCAAGCGCATTCCGGTGCATGCCTCTGCCCCTTCGTAAGCGGAGCATTTGCAGCCAAGCTTCTGCCTTCTTCCAGTCAACCAGCCACCGCCTCGAGCCGGTATTGCTCAGTCTTCCCCTCCCTGTATGCATGAGGGCAGAGCAGCCGAGTCACTCTCCTGGACTGAAGAGCAGGCGGAGGCCCTCCAAGCCACCGACAGCAAAAGGAGGGGACACCAAGGCCGAGCCGCAGCTCACTCGTAGCTTTGCCTCCAGACGCCCAGCGCCGCAAGAGCTACAGCTAAAGCTACGGGGGCGCTGTGTGCCTGTGGGTTGGCGATGTGCCACGTCACCTGTGTCACGCTGCTCCCCAGCGTGGTGGTGGTGGCAACAATCAACCCCTTCTGGTGATCTGCTTCCTGGCGCGGAGAAGGCAAAGTGCGTAAACTACATCGCGGCCGCCCTTCACTGCACCTTGCCGCTGTCCAGACATGAGGGTGTCGGAGGGGAGGAGAAAGCGGCGTTCTCCAAGCCCGGAGGAGCAGAGACTTCGAGCGGCTCTAAACCCGGAGGGGCGGACACCTGACCGGGTCATCTGGGCCGTGACGCAAAGACTCAAAAAGACTGGTAGTCCTTCAGGGCTGCTTAAGCTGCCTCAGCCTGCAAGGCTTGCCAGAAAAGATACAGCAGAGTTGCAAGCCTTGCAGGAGAGCATCGATCCGCATGACCAAGCTGGAGACGTCTTGCAAGAGATCGTCGGTGAGCCTCACCCACGGAAATAACATACATGCGATGCACATAGCCCTCTGTTCTGCCGCGTAAACCCCAAAAATCTAAAGGACTGTCAATCCAAACCTTACCCCGAACCATGCCAAGAACACCCCTGATGCTCGCAAGACCCATGATTTTGGGAGGCGGAAGTGTACGGGACTGCAGATGTTCATCGAAAGGTTCAGAAGCCCCCCCTTGGATGGCTACACTGTCTGGGGAACATCTGAGAGCTCACAGGTCCAGGAGGCTCAGAAAGAGATACAGAGAGAGAGAGAGAGAGAGAGAGAGAGAGAGAGAGAGAGAGACAGCGAGAGAGCGAGAGAGAGGCCCCTATGCCCATTGAGAAGCCACCAGCTGAAGATGTTGGGGATAAAGTCTCCGGCGTAGCCAGTTTCATGGGTTCCATCTTCCTCTCCGGGACGGAATCAGAATCAGGTCATTTCTGAATGTTGGTTGACAATACAACCAGCCAGATCTCAGTCCGATCCCAGCCTGTTGAGCAGCGACGGCACGTCTCGATCCGAATCGCAGGCGGTGCTTCTGTTCGAAGTCTCCCTGGTGGAACGTGAACTAACGACTGATGTTCTTTGTTTTGCCATCTTCCAATGGCATGCCTCAAATCAGACACCCGTAGAACCTGAAGCACCGTCTCTTCATCATGCTTTCAGCTTTAACACCACTTACAACTCAGTTGCATGAACGTCGGCATGCACCGGTGAAGTGCAGAACGGCTCACTTGTCATCCAGTGGCTTACTCAAAGTGCATCTTACAGCACGGGCACCCATAAACCGAGGCATCAAGATAGACTAGCATGAATAGCCGAGTTGCTGACATAAAAGGTTCTCCAATCGCACACGCTTTGCAGACACGAGTGGAACCCTTCGAAACACGTGGCGGCTAGCACGAAAAAATGCTTCAAGGACACTTGGTGGTGGTCAGCACATCCGTGGTATCTCCCGTTCTGGCAAGCTCCTACGCAGGTCACTGGTGCACGAGCCGTGCGGTGTTGCAATACGAGCCTGCGAACAGCCGTCGGAGGTCGTCCTGCTTCATATCGCTGATCATGGCAGCTTGAAGAGCGGCCAGCTGCTGCAAACGAAGGTTCTCCATCTGCCAGGCATCACAACAACTCAACTCACCCCTCACAGGAAAAGACAGTGGCCTTTCATTTATAATTGGTGCAGTATATGCCGTGCACTCATGGCAACTACAATCGCCGTCACTGCGGCCTGCATCATTGCGGCCCACTGCGCAGACTGCATGCCTTGCCACTGCATGGCGAATCGCAAGAGCCGGATGATGTCGGGGAAACCACGTTCCGAGTGCTTGAGCCTGAATCTTATCTTTAAACACTGGCTATATGGAGCCGGCAGCACACAACCGATTGAAGTTGTATAGCTAGAGCGAGACACGGGCAAGCGCCACTCTGAGCTGCAGGCCGCGACGATCTCCCGCGTTGCGAACAAACGTCGCAGCGGCTCAAATCGGAAAGGCGAGCTGCTGAAATACGGCCTCGCTCGCCGCAGTCGCCGCACTGTCGCAGCGCTGCAAGAAAGGACAAAACCGTTCGCTGACGTGGGCATCCTCAGGGCATCCTGGGCATCCCGCATTCTCCCTGGACTCTGCTCCAAGTCCAATCTAAGCAATGCCAAAGTGTGCTGCAAAGGCGGCTGGTGACCGTGGCCGTCACCTCAACTCAGAATGCCAAGCACAACTGCCGGCAGTCCTTTAGCAGCACACGAAGACCTCTCACCTGCTTTGATCGCAGTCTCTCCGCCGTCTTCCTACATGCAGTCGCTAGCTAGTTACAGCTTGCTTTCGAGTGCTGTCGACACGAGCCGGTGCAACGACCCCGGCAGTCCTGGAGTTGTGCATGTAGCAACGGCAAAACCTCACGGATATGCCGCAAAATCCGCAAAAGCATTGCAGCACAAAGTTGTCAGATGTTAAGCCGTTGAGCAGTCGGCCGGCACAGGACGCCCAAGTGAGGAAGCCAAGCCGGAAACATGCATCACTGGCTTGGCGAAATCACCGGCAGACCACACCAGCAGTTGGACCTCGAGCTCATGCCCGAAGTCCGTTCGTTTACTGGCCAGAACCAGGCTTGGGCTGAGCTGCCGCTTGTGAACGACACCGCCGTGAAGCTTCGGCATTCATCTGCATCTGGTAGCCTACGCTGTATGCCCAAGTGAGAGAACTGATCGTATCTGATCGTCGACCACACGCAGTAGACAAGTCGCAGAAGCCGTGCATGAAACTATCTTCTACGGGCTGAGTTCAAGCCATGACCTCGTGTAGAATTGCAGCTACGGTGCTCGGAGTCAGCAAATACTTCGTTCGGCAGCGCTGCTGAACTGCGACTCGTTCGAAGGGTGTCAAAGCCTCCCAGTAGCGCATTGCTCAAAACCCACGTCCGAGACAACCTCCCCACCACAGCACCTCGCAAGTCGGCTGTGGAGAATCCAAAGCGGATGCTGGATAAAGGTCCTGAAGTCTGCACTTTTGGAGTTTCCTTCGAAACGAAACCGGTCAAACAAAAGTCAGTCCTGGCTCCGAGCTGTTGTGGTTGCTGAAAGGCGGGAATCTGCAGCCTTTGGAAAAATCGGGAAGAGGTGGCCTCACGAGATAAATGGTTGCGCAAAGCAAGAGACTAAAAGGAAACAACAAAGCACGCCCAGCACGCCTTCCGTTGTGAAAACGCTGGCGCCGACAGGCCACGGCATTGCATTGGCCAGATCCTGCAGTTTGCGCATGTTTCCGCAATCACAACGCGCAGGCCATAAATGCAGGTGGTGATTGGAATGCGGTTGACGGGCTTCGGAGTCTGCATGTAGTGACATGAAGAAAAGCTCTCTCTCTCTCTCTCTCTCTCACACGGACTCAGTAAAGCTACAAACGAATTCATCTTGATTTCACATGCCGTCGATGTCGTCCCGTCAGCCACCGGTTCATCCAGAATTCAGTCATGATTCATGATTCCTTGAAGATACGTAGAGGAGTCGCAGGTGAGGCCCGCACCCACAAACCGAATCACGTGCAAACATAAGAGTGCTGCCGATTAGCTTCTGGCGGCGCCAGGGATAAGTACAAATACACCAGAGTCTCGGACAAAAAGAAGGAATCCATTCTGTCATCGAGCCTTTGCAGGGGCAGCAACATGGCTGCATGCCATCTTATGTGGCCTGCCACCCGACGTCACTGAGGCCTCTTTGTCGTTACATCTGCCACGGAAGCAAAGCCGCAGTCGACTCGGCTCTGGTCGTTGATGGCTGTGGCGATATTCTTTGCCTGGTCCAAAGGTTAGATCCCCAAAAGCATGTCTGGCGTGATCTGCACAGCTCGACGAGCCAAGGCTCCATGTCAAAAATCATGGAATCACCGGGCAGAGCAAGCGACAGGTAGAAAATTGCTTCGATCAGCTCTGGTCGAAGTGGAGAGTCCCTGCCCATCTGCACAATCGAAAACAAAGCGCAATGGGCCCAATCCCCGAAAGATCCTTGCCTGGCTTGGGTCGGGCTCTCTGCTCTGGTGTCAAAAACCTCAGGCAAGGCCTCGTGCTTCTTCCACAGGCCGTACCTCATGCTGACAGGGCAGCCTGGACCGAAGCAATCGGCTAGCTGCAAGCCATGCAGAGGCGGGGTGTATTGCCCAATACTAGCGCATGCCGCATGCCCACCGCTAACGCGATAGACAACGGTGAAGAGACAGGCTGGGAGAAAGCCAAGCGAGAAGGACAGACACAGAACGTAGGCGAGACTGCGCAGAAACTACAGCAAGAAACGATTCTAGAGATTTGGATTGCTAAACACACGCCCAGGCTCCAGTACAACACCGATCGCAAACCACTGGCCACGTCTCCCACCAGCACTTGCAAAGACGCCCACACGCAAGCCAAAGGCGACAGATGAGTATTTGCCATGAGCCCTTTGTTCATGTCCTTGGCAGCTTCATCCATGATACAGAAGTCCAAGTACACAACATACTGTAACATACTGAGCAATTGCGATCCAAGCACCACGTTGTAGGTGAACCCCTCGAAACTGTGATAAAATTCAACCTTGTGGGCAAGCGACGTTTTCACGACAGGCGCAGCAGCAGTGGTGGCCACTGCTGCTGGCACGTACCTATTGCATGCTCAAAAACACTCTCATCACCAAGGTACTGAAGCATAGGCACTCAAGAAGATCTCCAACAGCTCGAAATCATGGAAGAGGATGTAGCCCTTGAGCAGATACTCGAAAAACGAGTCTTGCCTTCGAGATGCACGCCCCCCCCTCTCAAAGCAAAATTGGTGCTTCACCTCAGCACACGGCCCAGGACCGGTCGTGCTTTGCTGATCCACGAAATTGCCCGTGTTCACCTGACGAGCCGCCCAATGCCGCTTATCCCGATGTCTCCGGCTGTGAAATACTACTTCTGTCACAACAACAAACCTAAGCCAGGAACATCGATTGATGTGCCCACCAAGTCCAACAGGTTCCGTCGGCCTGCAAGCGGCGACCGCAACGACCATGCACACCGTTACACTTCAGTTACATGTTACATGTCCATTCATGTGATCTTCTTGCTGTTGAAACACCCCAAAAAGCCAGAAGAGATCGCTTGGCGGCTCGGTAAAAACGATCTTCTCCGGTGAGATGCGATAGCATGCCAAACTCCAGCAAGAATGATCCTGCCTAGTCACATCGACAGCCGCATGCATTCACATATTTCGACATCAAACCGACCAACACTAGCACTTCTAAAGGTCTGGCCTCGGCAATGGTCACTGTCGCAGAAGAACCCTCCAATCGACACAACTCATTGCAAAGCACGCAGCAAGACGTCATTGAGTCCGATTTCATGGATGGCATGTTTGGGCAAACACTGTGGCGTGCCTTCGGGATCCCTTTTGCCAAGTTTACTCGGGACCTGGGCATCCCAGTTGGCGTGTCGAAGGCCCGAAGCAAGCGCTCGCCCAGGTCTAACGCCTGCCAGCTCAGAACCGCAACCTCTGAGAGGTATTTTTCTTGTTTCCCATGTCTTTGACTGGAGCAGTGTGCTGCTTACCGGCAGTTAACCGCGATGGCCACCGCGCTGTGGCGTGCATCAATAAGTAAATTGGTTGGGGACTTGCTGCGTGAACGTGGCAGGAGCGCGAGCTACTCCGTGGCGGGGCGGTCGATCGCTTCGGCGACCACGCACTCGCTCGCACACGCACCGCCAAACGGCCCAAGAGCCAGAACGGGTGCCAGTTGCCCCGGTCGAAGGCCCGCCGCTGTCGCGGCTCCGCAGAGACCCAAGCCTTCCCGACTTCCTGGCCGGCAGAAGAACAACGCGTGGATAAAATAAAGACACCTCCGAAAGCTCCAGGATGGGTAGACGGTGACGTTGCTTTCGCCTCTCCCCGGGCAAATGCCGGAAACAGTGGACCTTGTTGCTGCTGGTGTGAGTGAGTGAGTGAGTGTGCGTCGACCAGCACGTACAGTGCGGCCTGCCTCCCACATAGCCATAGCCCCTCCCCGTCACAGAGTTCAAGTGGGGGAGAATTAGCCAAAGGTCACTGGGTTGAACCATGGTGCACGCTGTGCAACCCGCAAAATACTCTGAAAACATAGCCCATAGGATACACATGGAAAAAATTTTCAGCGGTCGAGGAACAAGGAGCCAGGAATGAATTGGGTTTGAACCATAATGATAATTCCGGCATACACTAAAAATATATCAAGTAGTCGGCAGACTCAAAAAGCATCAAGGGGGCGAAGCCGTGCGGCCAGTGCCGAGGGAGTGATGCTCCATGCACAGGGCACACACAAGGGCGACCCCAAAGGCGAACAGTATTCCAGCACCGAGGGCGAGCACGCCACCAAGCAGGTTCAATAAAGTAGTATGAAAGTATACCATAAACGACACAGAGGCACATCCCTGGAAGAAAGCCGGTGGCAAAAGTGGCAATCAAGCGAGCTGTCAACCCCTGCGGTAAGCGTGGAATACCTCACATATACATTGGACGCCCTCATGCCCCGTGACCCCATCCATGGTGTCCAACATGTCCAAACGAGCTCTCGATGCATGTTATAATTGTAGGTGCGGAAAAAGCTGGCATGTACATTGGGCGCCGCACGACCGTAACACCATGCAACCAGCATTTCAATCATCTCTGACGAATACTTGCCGCACAAAGTAGTAGCAGTAGAAAAGTCGTCGTTATCATCGTCACTGTCGTAACCGCAATCAAAGATGGCATATCACCCAGAGACACAATGTCGACCCACCGATACGTCCGATACGTAACGGCGCTGTCGCCCCACTAGGTGGGGGAAAGGGGGGTGCTCCTCGCTGCCGCCCCGGGGGGGCGGGCTGTCAGCCCGCACCTCCTTCCAAGCCCTCTTTCGGCTCTCTTGGCTTCTTCCAGTGCTCCGGGCTGTCAGCCCGCACCTCCTTCC